CGATTTAAATTTAAATGCTTGGCATACTTAATTACCCCCTGCGGTATCGATTTCAAAATAATAATGTTAACGATCAGCTCAAAAATATTCCGAATTTTTACACTAAAATGTATCACTAATCAAGCTTATCGTTGAAGGAAATATACTTAGGTACATAGCATGTGCATGCATCAACATAAATAGTTTATACCTTTAGTAGACACACTTGATATGTTGATGCATGCGCATGCTATGTACCTAAGTATATTTCCTTCAACGATAAGCTTGATTAGTGATACATTTTAGTGTAAAAATTCGGAATATTTTTGAGCTGATCGTTAACATTATTATTTTGAAATCGATACCGCAGGGGGTAATTAAGTATGCCAAGCATTTAAATTTAAATCGCACAGTGTGTCTGGGCTACCTATGGTGTGGAGTCCTTGGAAGTGAAATATGATCCAGCTTCTTGCTTGAAATGTACCGTAACACTTATAATTGATGACTTTCAGTATAGCAGGAAGTTGTGTCATGATGAATACGAATTTAAAACTGTTCCTTTCACGATTTCGTGTTGCAAATTACATTTTTATCACCCGAAACTATAACGCATAAAATTGCAATTCTCCAAACCCAACAAACAGACTCTTCTACCACCCCTCCCTGAGATCAATTCAATTTACCACGCAGAATCTGCGGTTTCACGTGACCAGCCCCGACCAGGGTATTTGCTTCACAAGAGCAAAGAGCCTGGGAACGAGGTTGGACCGGCTGCCGGTCATATAGTCACTTCGTTAATATATCGTGAAGCCTGGCTACGCTATCAAAATACTCAATTAATGTTTTATATATGCTCAAATTGAAACGAAGTCATTGTGCTAACACTTACTATATTGTGTGCAAAACTTCAAAACTACAGTACATTTTGTAAATAACATGAAATATATTAAAATATCAAACAAAATTCTCATTAATACTATTGGAATTTAATGCAACAAAATAGCATTCTACGTCGATAATTTCAATCATAGTTTAATAATTATTTTCAATCTATAGTAATTCGCCGTTTCCATGGGTTTTTTTATACTTTCAATAAAGCTACAATAAAGCTAAATTTGTAGGAAATAACATTATTTAGTTATAAAATAGTATAAAAGGAATCTAACAGTCAATCGCTTTCGATAAAACCTTGACCTTGTTTATAAGTACCGTCGTTTGCAACTAACGATGAACAATCGCTCATAAAAACATTGCCTATTCGCAATGGTCCGTCGCTTAGGGTTAGAGTTAGGGTTGCGGTTAGGGTTAGGGTTAGGGGTTAGAGTAGGGGTAGGGTTCGTGTTAGGTGATAGCCATTTAACAACTCTTCTATCTTCCGAAAATTACGTCAGGCCAGTTTGATGGATGGAAAATAGTGCTAACCGATTTTGGCATGACCATAATTTATAATCAAAATGCTAACGCCATGGTCCTGGCTGGTGCGCGTTTGGGAGGCATTCTCCCCCCCCCCTGATAATATTCAAAATGGCGGACGTCCAGTGGGGAATGCCTCTTGGGCGCGCACTGGCTGAGACCTGGTAGCGGTTACTCGAGTCGACCTTCTGTGTGTCTCTGTTCTGTGCCAGGGGGTGAGTGCTTCTGTTTACGATACTTGCTGAGTGACGAATCATGACGAATAGCACTTACGCAGAAAACAATGGAGATGGATTTCTGTATAGTATTATGAGTCCTCAGGTTTCATGGTTTTGATGGCATGCAACATGTACGCACTCGTACCTATCTTTAATGAAATTATTGACAAATTTCAATGAAAATAGAAATTCGCAGCTTAGGCATGGATAGGAATGTTGGCACCACTTATTCACCGAGGATAATTTTCTATCCAAAATAAAATTGCAAGATGAAGTACCGAACAGCCATCCGTCATGATTGTGGGCTCTTGCCACTGGTGGTGTTGACGTGCATGCAAGATGGAAGAGGAATTACGTTCCAAAGGTTGGTAAAATTTGCATAAAGAATCCAAACCAATCAGATACTGTGAATCGAAATTAAACTTAGAGCAAAATCAATATTCACTGTCAAGTTATTCGTTATTTTCATGCACTGGTTTATTTTTGCGTCAGTCATGGGCGTACCGGAAGGAAAAGTTTAGGGGGGCGGAAAGAAGTTTGCCCGACTTTTCCGGATTTTGCCCGACAAGTACCGAAAAAATTTTTTCCGGAATTCATTCTGTCGACCTGCCCCCCCCCCGTCGCCAAAAAAATTTCGGTCAGTGTACCATTTTAGGGGTCAAAAATTTTTTCCGGACATACCGAAATTTTCTGGAAACTAACAAAAATTTTCCAAACATCACAAAATTTTACAAAAAATTTACAGAATTTGTCCCATTTTTTTTTCAATAAATCAAAATTGCCCGACTGTTCAGCGAATATTGCCCGACTGCCCAACAAATTGGGGGGGCTGCCGCCCCCCCCCCCGCCCGGTACGCCTATGCCGTCAGTTATAAAGTGATTTGTGTTTGTACGTGCAGTTTTGTGGATTTACGTGTGTCAATGATATATATATACATTTTGAAGGCTTAATGTTATGTGCATCATTTCAGAATTGCCATACATATTAGTGGAAGATTCGCCAAAGAAACGGAAGATTGAAAAAGTGGACCTCACTTTAGAAGATTCTCCAGATAAGTCGGATAAGGTAGCCAAGGTAGGTCCAAAATAACTGGCAATTGGTGAAAGCTATAATATATATAACAAGCCAACTCGCATCTATTCTGAATCCAAATGTAGTATAAGGGAATTTCTTTCATTCAATTAACTGACATGAATGTACGTACTGTATGAAACTTAAAACATAATATTTTGTAGGCTAATAGACCTTTCCCCTTATAACCAAAATTTTGATTTAGGCAAGTGTAGACAAATATTTCATCACAGCTTGGGAGAGCATCGCAAAATTAGTAATATTCCAAAGTTTCGTTGCGAAATGTTGTAAAATGGGGAAAATAGAGCCTTGCGAAGTTTGCAATTTTCAGTCATTTTAGATCACAAACGGGAAATTGCAGCCCCAACACCCAAATCGGATGTCAATTTCCCGTTTGTAATACAAAATGACTGAAAAACGGCAAACTTCGCAAGGCTATATTATCCGCATTTTACAAGATTTTGCAACAAAACTTTGGAATATTACTAATTTTGTGATGCTCTTTCAAACTGTGATGAAATTTTTGTCTATATCGAAATTTTAGTTATAAGGGGAAAGGTCCATTGTGTTCAAGCAAACTATGCATATGGATTTAAGTATGAAACATCAGAAGAAGAAACAGAAGAAGAAACATCAGAAAACTATGCACATGGATTTAAATATGAAACATCAGAAGAAACATCAGAAGAAGAAACAACAGTAGGTATGTATGTTCATTTGTTCTTTGATGTATTAATTTCATATGTTGGGAACATTGTTGCAATGCTGGAGGGTATGTTCATCAGGCAACTTGGCATAGAAACTGGTCATGCTATGGAATTTTTTTGAATTTCCAATTATTTAAATCTTTAGAAATGTATTGTCTTTAGACTATCGATTTGCATGGTTATTTGCATAGCATAGACAGTTTTGGCATGGCTGGGTTTACGGCTACAGTTACCAGGCAATGCCCAAGGTGGGGCATTTACTTCTGCTGACTGTCGCTGAGCTGGGGAATTCTATGTACATAAAGCAGTGAACATACACTGTTATCTGTTTTATTTATACTGCAATATAACAAATAAGTTGTCAAGTTTTGTTGTGAAAATTTTAAAAATCTTGCTCAATGGAACTAACAGTTGAGGGGTTTTCGTAGATGGAAATTTCAAGCAGGAGATTGTATAGAATTTTAGACCTAAACAGGAGCAGCTGCGAAAACTGCAACTCTGACAGTTATCCAACCTTCGCCCTTTTTTCCAGTGCAGATCTCTAACCAACTGAGCTGCTGGGAGACACAACTGAGCTGTAATTATCAACTGTAATTATCTACAGTACACCAAGATACCTTTAAAAGCTCAATATATCTACCCATACTTACATTGGCATTGTCTACTGCATCTATATCAGAACTTGTGCATACAACTCAACAACTGGACTCTGCAGCTTAGTTGGTTAATAGAGTACTAAAACGGAATCTGCATGTTCGATTCCTTTCAGTGGGCCGATGTTTAATTACTCTGCTGTGTACAGCCCTTTTTGTTAGGGGCCAAATTGTAGTTGCTTGACAACACAGCAAAACCATGCTTCCTCACCATCTCAACAATTTGAAACTCAAAATTTAAAGCTATTTTGAACTGTTCTAAAGACAAGCAAAATCATCATTTTCAAATCTTATTGGTGGGGATTTTGTATTTTATTTCAATGATGGATATTTGCATAAAGTTATTTTTGCCGTTTGTCAAATGCCTGACAAATGCCCAGGGGAGATGGGTGTAGCATTTGAATAGATCAAGAACAAAAATACACCATGAAGAATGTTTCATTCCGAAGGGTGATTTTTTTTTGTGGAATACTCAGAGTGAAAGGTCAATAACTAATAATAATCACATTTAATTTTAATCAAATTTAGGAAAACAGGCCCAAGTATTTAATTGCACACATTGGGAAAGACTGGAAGTAGAGGAAGTTTCGTCTTTGCCTTGGGCCATTGATGATGAACATGTTTTCAAACTGGCTTGTAACACATCATCTGGTCAGTCAATGAAAAGCACGGTGGATGGGCGACCCTGGGCTCGTTATAATAAGTCCTATCGAAAGGGGTTCAATAACAATCATGGTAAGCGATTGCGTGCAAATTGCAAAGGCTGTCATGAGTGTGTACACGAAGACTGTCCATTCAGGATGCAGTTTGAAAAGCTAAACAGATTTAGTTTTAAACCGTCCACAGAGGGATTGCGTTGTAAAGAATGTGGAGTTGTAGCAGTTTATCAAGCATGCCATGCAGTTAAAATTTGGGGATTTCCCAACGATGATAAAGGATATGTCTATGTGTATCACACGGGAACACACAAGTGCTCTACGTCAAAAAAAACCCCGAATTCCAGCAAGCAAATTGCAAGAACTTATCCATCAGAACCCAAAAGTTAAACCACAGCAGGCAGCTAACCAGATAATTATGAATGCCATTCGAGACGACTCTTCGCGCGAAGAGCTTGATGAGCTATCTTTTAATCTGCTTTATCCGAAATAGATAAGGAGGTAGAATCTGAAGACGCTGAGACGGTTGCTTTGTTTTTGGAGTTACTTGATGAAGCACTTAAAGACTACACAGGCAACCTAAATGCCAGCTTTGAACCAATTGGATGGATGCTGGATGAAGGAGGAGGTTTGCAGGCAGGAGTTGTACGAAAATGTGGACCTCAAGTGAAGTCTAAAATTGCTACATGTCGGTATGTTTTTGCACACAGTATGTTATTATATCTCTACGTATCGTCAACTGTTATTTCAGGGGCTGATCTAGTGCGGGTAGTCATAAGGATCATGCGCCTTCGGTAAAAATTGCGCAGTTAGTGTAACTGAATTAATTGAAACCCAAAGTTATCATATTCATGCAACATTCTTTGTTATATTACTGAGCATTTTCATTTGATAATGAACAAGACTCGAAGAATTCCATTGCAAGTCAGTATGCACAGTTGAAACAATGTAAGGTACTGTAATTTGCATGTCAAACGTGACGGAACATACGAGCCAGAAACTACACTATGGATTTAAATGTTAAACAGTAATGAAACAATAAAAAATTAAACGATAAAATAAAGAATCAACTATCCATAATTGAGGAGCGCAGCTTGGGGTTGGCAAGCAATGGCACAAATTTTCACAGACTGTATTATATAGAGAATAATACATGATCGAGTGCGCGGAAATACCAGATTTATTTCGAGTTCGCTCATACCATGTTCAACACGAGAAATAAATAGAGTATTTCCAAGCACCCATGTATTTTTCTGTTTATTATATAATGGACAGTCTTTGAAAAGCGATAATTTTTACAGAAAAGTGGTAATTGAAAAGCGATAATTTTCACATGTGAGATTATCATGAATAATCTCACATGTGAGATTATTACTTTTAACAGTGCTCGAAATTTCTATAAAGCATTATACTTTATATAATAAAGCATAATAATACTGTCTGTACACAGGCTAGCTAAAGATCAGTGTTTGCATTAATTCTTTGTTGTAGTCGAGATCTACATTTACGTGCTGGTTCACTAAACATTCACTCATTTCATAGTTTTTTAAAACAAATATTTAATAAAAACGATAAATAACAACCTCAACGCGGCCATGTGTTTTCCGCCTTTTTCCGTCTAATTAATGTACTTTATGTCGCCAAAATGGCGTTAGTTTGTCAACTGTTCGTTTTCGCTCCGACATCTCCCCCTCCCGGATTTCTTGTGATCCGTCTTCTCATGATTTCAAAATTCCAGTGGTGATACGCGTCCAATCGACCGTCTGTAGATCTTATCATTTTCTCTCACATTCACTACACGAACATTGCCGTCCTTTCCAGGATAAACTGCTTCAATCTTCCCCAATTTCCATTGTCGTCTCGGTGTTCCTGGATCGATAGCTAATACCATATCTCCTTTCTTCACATTATCTTGTTTGTTAAACCACTTTGCACTCTTGCATCCAGCGTTTCCAGGTTTGGCGAATAAGTTCCTGCACGCGCCTCCAACGTTTCTTGGGGTTAAACGGTGTGTAGTCGACACTCTCTGGTGCAACATCACCTCCTGATTGACCGATTAAGAAGTGGTTTGGTGTTAACACTGGTTCGTCGTTTGGATCTCCGCTAACATGAGTCAAAGGACGTGAATTCATCAGACTCTCTACTCCAACAATGACTGTCTCTAGTTCTTCGTCACTTACGTCTGCGTTAGTTAAAATTCCTTGGATCGCTCTCTTGGCTGACTGGATCATCCGTTCGAATACGCCTCCAAAATGCGGTGATAACGGTGGATTCCAACGCCAGTCTACCCCTTTATTGGACGTCTGCGCTTTAATCTTCTCTTTGTCGATCTCACCAACAAGTTTACAAATCTCGTTGTGACCTCCTACAAAATTGGTACCATTGTCACTAAGCATAGTTCGAGGCCAACCGCGTCTCGCTACCATTCTGGTGAACGCTTGCAAAAATCCGTCTGTTTCCAACGACCATGCCATTTCTAAGTGGCAACAATGGGTCTGCAAGCAAAGAAATAGACACAAATATCGTTTCGTTCGTGTCTTCCCTCGTCCTTGCTTTGTGAGGTAGGGCCCTGCGAAATCAACTGCACAGTTCGTGAAAGGTTTCATCGTCAACTCTAATCTGATATTGGGCAATGGTGCCATTTGTTGCACGGCTGGTTTGCCGGTAAAACGCCGTTTGCACGTTGTGCATTCTTTTGCCGTTCTCTTTACCATTTCTCGGCCATGAACGACATGGTATCTCTCTCGAAGATGATTCAGCGTGAAGTTTACGCCCATTCGATGCCCTTCGCTTTCGTGGTGATACTTCACGATGAGTTTCGTCACTGGATGTCTCTTGGGTAAAATTATTGGATATTTTATCTCTTCGCTCAAATCCTCAGAGTATCGAAGCCTCGTATTCGAACGCAGAAGACAATCTTTCCAGATTGGCGTTAAATTCAAAATACTGCTTCTTTTAGGAAGACTCTTCTTCTCTTTTAGTGCAGTAATCTCTTGACAATAAACTTCCATTTGTGCTTCGCGAATAATGATCTCTTCTACACCTTGTAATTCGTTTGCGGTCAACTCTCCACTGGCTCGTTCTTTCTTCAACTTTCGACAGTTCGCAATGAATCTATGGACCCAAGCTCTAACCCGCACTAACGACAGTCCTAACTCCAATCTCTTAGTCAAGGAAAGGCGATACCACTTTGAAAATCTTGAAGGTTTCAGACGCCATTCTCCTTCGCTTTCGTCTTCTTGAGTCGCATTGAAACAAACTGCGTCACCCTTGCGTTCTGGCTTCATCTCTGCGAAAACTTGGGCGTTCTGTT